CAGATATAATTGAGTATTCCGAGATGAAATTATCCTGGATTAATAGTGTGGGCCCTATATCCAATGACAAGTGTCCTTATAAGAGACAAGAGAAGACACAGAGGAGAAGGTCATGTGAAGATGGAGGCTGAGTTGGAGGTATGCGCCATACACCATGCAAGCTCCAGGAGCTGGAAAATGCAAGGACAGAAGCTCCCCCAAAGCCTCAGGAGAAAAGTGGGACACCTTGATTTTAGACCTCTGGCCTCCAGAGCTGTGAGAGAATAAACTTCTGTTGTTTTAAGTCACCAAATTTGTGGTGATTTTTTTCCAGTAGCCCTAGGAAAGTACTACAGAAGGCTAGGTAGGACAGCATATCAGGAGACTGGTGGAAAACCTCAAGAAACATCTATTGAAAACAGAAGTCTTATGTGTGGAAACAAGTATCATCCCCCTAGCCTCCAAAGCATGATGATTCTGAGAAGAGAAGGGACAGAGGGTAGAAACCTCCTCTAAATGCACACATGGGCCCCAAATCTGATGTATAAGAATCTGAAGGCTGTGGGTCAGGGGCCAAACCTAGTCTGTGTCAGAATCACCTGGAGAACTTTAAAAAAAAAAAATGCTGATTTCTCCATTTAAGGATGGTTGAATCAGAATCTCTGGGGATCAGGCTCAAGAACCTGTGTTTTTCAAAAGTTCCCATGTGATTCTGATGATCCATCCTCCTTAAAAATGACTATCCTGAGTGGTCTGCCTCTTCCTTAAATGCTTGAGAAATAAATCTGAAGGCAACTTCTTTTGAAAAGATATGTTTTTAACAGGCTAGTTATTATTTAAAAACCATTTCCACTGCTTATGTAAAGCTGATATAGATGCATGATATACAGAAAAGCACAAAGGTGAAAGCAAAATCATCCAGATTCATCATGTTGTGGAATCTTCCATGCATATATTCTGAACATATTTATTTGCACATGCACGTATGTGTACAGTTGAACCTCGCATCTCAAACTCTGGTCCACAGACCAGCAGCACTGGCAATGCTGGGGAAACAGCAAAGAGTTCCAAATCTCAGGTCTTACCCAGGTCCTCCTGAGTAGAAATCTACATTTGCATATAGGCACTTGAGAAGCACTGGTTTAATATAACTCAAACATACTACATTCCTTGTTCTGTAATTTGCTTTTTTCACACATGAAGATACTGTAAACATCTGTCCTTGGCAATATAGAGCTATACTGATTTTTTTTAAGATTTTATTTATTTATTTGAGAAAGAGAGAGAGAGAGCATGCCCATGTGAGTGGGGGAGGGGCAAAGGGGGAGGCAGAGGAAGAGAGAATCCCAAGCAGATTCTACACTGAGCGTGGAGCCCAGGAGCCTGATGCTGGGCTTGATCTCATGACCCTGAGATCATGACCTGAGCCAAAAACAAGAGCCTGACCCTCAGTGGACTGAGCCACCCAGGCACCTCTTTATTGATCTTTCTTAATGGATGCATGGTACTCTTTTATGTACCAGAGTTTATTTAATCGGTCCCCTTTTGATGATCATTTCTATTTGCCTTTTCTTTTTCACTCTGCAAATAACACAGACCTAAGAATCCTGAGAATACATCTTTCTGTTTTGTTATTATTTTTGGGTAAATCCCTTGAAGTGCTTTTGACAAGTCAGATGATGGGCATATTTGTAATTCCAGGATGCCTTCCCAAGATACTGCACCAGTGTGTGTGCCTATAGATGGTGCACATCAATGCTGGCTGCCTCACACCTTTCTTAACACAGCAGTTGTCCTCATAATTTTAACCTTTGCTTCTCTGATACTTAAACATGGCAGTTCATTGATATTTTTTCCTAAAACCCATCAAAAAGCTGAATATCTTTTCATACATTTATTGGCCATCTGTCTTTCTCTCTTTGTGAACTGTCCAGAGTAATTTTGGTTGTTTAAAATAACAGTTATAGAAGAATCTGCAGAATTACATAGTTTAGAAATACAGTTTAATCACAATGAAAAGACACGAAGAAGAAAAAAAGAAGGAAGGGAGAAGAGAATGTGCCATAAAAAAGGATAATCAAAAGATTAGTTTGTGTGTTTATTTATAGACACTGGTTACAGCAATCCAGTGATTAGGCAAATTAATGCAGCTGTGTATGATCGCAGCTCTGGGATCAGCCCCCACATCCTTTTCAACTGATGCCACCTGTCATTTAAGTATTTTGCATTTGCCTTTTATGTTACATACATTTCATGATGATTCCCATTTTAAAAACATCGTTAGTTAACTCTTTGGAGTCTGGCATGACATGGATTCTTTTCTAATACGTCTTTTACAGTCGGGAAGGGGACAGCTCACCTCCCTACTGGGCAGGCATTTGCCTCTGGAAAAGAACAACCATCGCCCAATGTTCACTTTTTAGGCAAGAACAGTTGAATTCAGTTCAGTGGGTATAAAACTGGTTCACGTCTCAGAACCAACTGAACAAAATGGGGGTCAGATGTAGTATACTGGCTGGACTTTGGGGTCTTCAATAGCACCTGCTTCCCATGCCTCATTCTACAGAATGGGTGCAGTCCTTATGGTCCCTGAGGGACCTCAGGCCTGCTCTGACACAGAGACATTCTTCAAGGGCTCAACACCCCGCATACAGACTCTCTCTACCTAACTAGTGGCAGGGTCTTCTCATAGGACCCTTGGAAATCTTTCAAACTGAGGATGATGCTGAAGGGGTGACAACCCACCTCATCCACCCCTGCCACCCTCTGTTGTTGCAACTTCATTTGTGAATGGAGACAAATCAGTCACCTTCGTTCACCGAGCATTTTCCCCATATGGCAAGAGCACCGTACCGGGTGCTGAGGAGGGAGGGCTGCAGAGAAATGGTGAAGACACGGGAGAGAGAAAGTCTCCAGCCTCCGCTTTGCAGTGTGCCGGATGTGAACAGGCTGAACAAAGTCTTATTCAACACACTTCAGGATGTTACAAGGAGGCCTCATTAAAAAGCCTGAAGAAAGGAATTTTAGAATAAAAAGATAAGCATGACCTTTTAGAGCAGATCCTATGTAAACATACAAAGCACACAAACCCTGGGGAACATGCAGGCTAAAATAGATTTCAGTAGCTGCTAGAATAGGAATGTTATGCACAATAGATTCTTACAGCTTTTAAAGGGATTGGAAACTCTGGAACACATCTTAAAAATGTGGGTCAGAGTCAAGGAAGCACATTGTTGCAATGTTATAAGATATTCCTCAGTGCTACTGTCAGATATGAAGCAGCAGGGAGGGGAGGCCTTGGGTCCACCACAGGTATGGGGACTTGTAGACTTTAATATTTGGATAGGGATGCAGAGAGGAGAAAGAACGGAGACCTTTAAGCAAAAAGAGAGAAAAGCGAAAATGAATCTATCGATCTATCTATATAGATAGATATATACACAGTTGACCCTTGAACAGTGTGGGGATTAGGGATGCTGATCCCCCCTGCATAGTTGAAAATCCAGGTGTAACTTTCGACTCCCCAAAAACTTAACTAATAGCCTCCCGTTGACTGGAAGCCTTACCAATAACACAAAGAGTCAATTAACACACATTTTGCATATTATATGCTATATTCTTACAGTGAAGCCAGAGAAAAGAAAATGTTATTAAGACAATCATAAGGAAGAGAAAATACATTTATAGTACTGTACTGTATTTATCAAAAAAACAAAAACAAAAACACCCCACATGTAAGTGGACCCTAGCAGTTCAAACCCATGATATTCAAGGATCAACTCTGTATGTGTGTGTGTATCTCAACCTGAGTGAGGTGAGTGGACTGTTTTAACTGTGTGCATGAAGTCCAAATGAATATTCAACCTCACAGTAATCAAAGTAGTAGAAAAAATAGAAGTATCTCTCTCATGTCACTGTGTTTGGCACACATGTGGTGGTGTGTCTTTGTGTCTGGCTCTTAATGGTAATATCCTTTTTTTTTTTTTAAGATTTATTTATTTATTTGAGAGAGAGAGAGAGCATGAGCGGGAGGGGCAGAAGGAGAAGGAGAGAGAATCTCAAGCAGACCTGCACCCAGTGCAGAGCCCGACTTGGGGCTAGGTCTCGGGACCCTGAGATCACAACCTGAGCCGAAACCAAGAGTTGGATGCTTAACCCAACTGTGCCACCCAGGCGCCCCAGTGGTGAAATCTTTCTTTAAAAGAGATGTGGACCATATATTCTAGAACCAATTCTAGAATAGTAAGAAGTAGCCAAATGCCCGGTGGTTTAGGTAGATACTCAGACACATTAAGGCCACCAACCAGTCTGACTGAAAAGTTAACTGTGGAGTGGTCAAAAGAAAGGGCAAAAATCACGAAATGGGCGTGGTAGCAAATTTCTGCTCCTCACCACCCCCAGCCAACCTGACCTGTCATGGAGGGGGCATCTTTTGTTTCCTTCCCCCCCTGAGAGCGGGGACGGCAAGCTGTTGACAAATCGTACTGCACAAAGAGTTGTTCACACTGCCAAAGTGTTTACTGCTTCACAAGTGAGGCTCAAAATTAATTCACAGCAGCAACACCAGCAGAAAGCTTTGACAGACTGTCTTATGTGTTGACACAGTTATAAGTTGTTAGATAAAAAAAGTAACACACTTCCCCTCTTTTCCAGCCCAGACGCATCAAAGTTGCTCCTAAGAGAGAACGTGAAACGTGCCTGAGATGGTGAATGCCATCCTGCAGGTGAGATTTCCGGTTCTGGGGTTCATGGCTTTGGGCGTGAGAAGAAGGTGGACCCCAGTTTTGAGGCGAAGTAAGGTGGTGAACCTCTTACCCAGCCACAGCTACAACTGGTCATGGTGGTTGTTTTTCCTTCAAGAGTACTTCCCTCTAGGGCAAGCCTCAGGCACCAGGGTGGGAAGCAGAGTAGAGCTGTTTATATACCTCCTCAGCAGCAAAAAGGGTGCTAGTATAGCAGCTTTCACAAGACACAAATCATTCATTACCTTATTGCTTTTAAAACAACAATCCTTTACTTACTATGGCTTCGGGGAAGCTGGAGAGATATGACTTGCTTGCTCCACAGTGATTTATACTAAAAAATCGGAAAGAATGCAGTCTTATTTAATGATCTCAAGCCACTTGAGATAATTACAGTTAAAAAAAAAAAAAAAAAACAGAAGCCAGGTGGGATAGCAAATATTTGGCCTTTTCTCAAAGATGCTATACAAACTCACTGGGGCTCAGCTTGGCTCTGTGCTGTGCTGTGTAGAGGTGTTGGGTTTGGAGATTCCCTGTTGAGCAGAGCGTCCTCTCCAGGAGAAGCCACATGCCTTGAAAAATGAAGATTACTATTTAACATTGTAGCCCTGCTTCCCGGGATCAGAAGTTGCCATTCATGTCAAAACTGGGCAGCACAAGAGCTTTCTTTAGGAAGGCTATATTTAAATAACTATTGAAAATAGCATAGCGCTGACCTGGAGGAAAACTGTGAATCAGGCAAATTCTCTAACTTCCCGTGGACATTTTCCACACCAACCCCTCCACCTCCACTCAAACCGGCCATGACCCATGGGTGCTGGGAGAGCTTTCCAGCTTTGCCCTCACCCCCTCCCTGGCTCATAATTCTCTCTCCTTCTTCATCACCAAATTCCCCTTTCTTTTGGTGTCAGAGGAGAGGATTCGTATCTAGTTACAAATGACTGGTGCTGTAGGGTAGTCATCCTCACAAGGTGCTGAGGGGTTGTGAGAGTGCACCCTGAGCTGATCGAATTCCTGCCAGTGTGACAGGACTCACTGAGAAGGCTTTAAACACCGAGGTACGAAGGGATAGCGGAGTGCCCTTAAAATCTGGGATCGGGGACATCTGCTTTACCCAGAGAGCCCCGAGCCCAGTATTCAGGTGTTCATCAGCAGCCAGCAGGAGAGCCAACCTGGCCTCGAAATCCATGTGTTAACAAGTACTGGTCCTGCCAGTGACAGTGACAGAGACGTAGCACTAACATTGACGGAGCCTTCCCCTGGTGCTAGGCATCACATTATGTACTTTTACATACGTGGTCTCATCCAATACTCAATAACCCCGAGAACGACGGCTTTTGTTCTCCCTTGTTTACCAAGGTGGTGACCGAGGCTTAAAGAGGGTAGGTAACTCGCTTAAAGCTGTAACAGCTAATAAAAGGGGCAGAACTGGAATTGAAAGCCAACTGAGTCTGGACTAAGTGCCCTTCTATTGCCTCCTGCGGTTTTGTCCCAGTGTAAACCATCTATTGTGAACAGCCAGCACAGGCCAGCACTCCCTGGTTTACCACAGTGGAACGCAAAAAGAACTACAGGCCACACTGCAGATGCAAAAAGGCTTTTCTCATGTGAATGTGGTGGAGTAAGAAGAACATGAAATCAGAACGCAGACAGATCTGGTTAGAACCCTGGCCCCACTTGTGACCTGTGTAAATCTCTGACTTTAGTTTTCCCATCTATTAAATTAATCTGACACTACCTGGTTCACAGAGTTGTTTTTGAGTATTGAATAAGGTAATACACATGAGAAAAAAAATGGTTTCAGAAGCATAAACTGTTAAGTGTTAGTTATTCCTGTTAATATGGTCTTTCAACGGGAAGAGCAGTTCCTGAGAACAGAAGATTGCCCTTCATGCAGGTACGAGCTAGCCCGACCTGACAAAGCCAGGAGAAGGTTCTCAGGATGACAACTGGGGCAGAGGGCATGGAAGCAGGTTACTAGGCTGGCATTTACTGGTAATAATGAAGTTTGACCCTAAAAAACAACACATGAAGATGACTTCTGTAATGCGGATGACAAATGGTAACGTTCAGTGAATTCAGAGTAGATGACCCTTTCTGCATTCACAGTCTGCTTCAAGACCTGTGTGTCAGCTGCTGAACTAGAGTATGGGGTGCCATTTTCTTACTGGTGATTGCATATATGCCTTTGTAGACTGCAGACTGGGTTCAAAAGAAAGGGTCACCTTTGTGCAGTTGACTCCTCATTTTGTAACCATTCCAAAATGCAGTAGCTTCTCCCAAAGTATTTCAAAGACACCAACCTGCTGAGACCCAGGGGCAACCATCAGGGTACTAAACTTTCTTCTTCTAATGGCCTCAATCTCAGTGAATACTTTTGAATAGATAGGTGAGCTCCAGAAGGGCTGTCTGTGGTTATTAATCTCACCCTTTGTTATGGAGAGTCTCAATCCTTTTTCTACATATGAGCTCATCCTTCAAACCACCACATTTGTGACCATTTTTGGGAGGGTTGAACTGAAGTTTAAAGCATTATGTCATTGTAAACAAATAATCACATGTAGTGTGAGTCTGTGGAAAATACAGCAATTCACTTTTGTGGTGTTGGTTCCACTACAAGAACAGGGAACCCAAATGATGAGGTCAGTGGGCCAGCAGCCACACAAAAGAGAATGCCAAGTCCACGTACACAGAGCAGGCTGCTTTCACTCACAAGGGAAAATCAAGCTCATTATTCTGACACCGGCCGACAACAGTGATTGCTTTCCTAAATTAAAAGGAAATAGAGCTTCAGAGACTGCTTCTCCCTGCATTACACATTCTTGCCAAGAGGTCAAGAGGGCTGTTACCCTTGCTGTTGATGACATGACCACATCCAGGCTTGTTTCATTATCTTGTGCCTAGATAATATCTAGGCACATTTCTAGCTAATAAAAAGTAAATGAAAACATGCTACCACAACTTAGCAGCAAGAATGGAGGCAATAGAAGTAGGTGGTAAGAGAGGGTTATCTAAATCCTAGACACCTCACCCAGTCTAAGAGGGTAAACCATACTCTTCTGCCAAGTGGCCGTGACTTCCAGTTGTAAGCAATGGGTGGACAGGTATGTATACTGTTATGTAGGTCAACCTGATTTTGTCTATTTTTGCCTAAGGCAGAACATTATTCCTCCAGCATGCAACAGAGCTAATCAGAGCCCCTGCATAATTTTTTTTTCTAGCAAATCTAATGGAAGCATTAGAACAAGGGTGGCTTATATTCTAGCCACACTTTTTACCTTCCTATGTCCACCAACCATTCTTTTTTTTTTTTTTTAAAGATTTTATTTATTTATTTGAGAGAGAGAGAATGAGAGACAGAGAGCACAAGAGGGAAGAGGGTCAGAGGGAGAAGCAGACTCCCTGCTCAGCAGGGAGCCCGATATGGGACTCGATCCCAGAACTCCGGGATCATGACCTGAGCCGAAGGCAGTCGCTTAACCAACTGAGCCACCCAGGCGCCCACCACCAACCATTCTTTTGGGTATCCAGGCTTAAAACCCTTGGGTCTTCTCTGATTTCTATTTCTTTTGTTCAGTCCTGACTCTATCAATATTCACATTCAGTACTCACTAAAGTCTTACTGATGACGCCTTTGATATTTACCTCTATTCTCTACTCCTACTGTCACCATTTTGTTCAGGGTCCTCTTCCAGGCCCCTCTACCCATGGCCATACCATCACAAGAACTTCCTGATGGTGCTGTGCCTCTGATTTCTGCCCCACCAATCTGGCAAGGACACCATCACCAAGTCACCACAGTGGCCTTCTAGTGCTTATGGGGGGCAAGTTAAAAACTCAGCTTGTATTCATGGCCCTCAACAACTTGGTAACCAACCTGCCTCACCAATTCTATTCTCCACTTTTGCCCTCACACCACCCCACCCCAGCCCCGCCACGTTTACGCCTTTGCACACAACCTTTTCCCCTTCTTCATTCTATCTGGCTATCCACCAAGGCCCAAGTAAGGCACATTTCCCCTGGGAAGAGAGCCCTGGCCACTAGAGGAGAACGTGTAGCCCTGACCCAGAATGCTCATTTAGTGATAAGCAATGTAGCTCCTTGTGACCTCTTTTATAATATTTATTGCTTTTATTGCTATTCAAATATAGATCGGTTAATTTGTCTCTTCAATTAGACTTATCATGGCTCCCAGAAGATTATGTTTTCTCCTTCTTTGTATCATTTCTGCCCACCCCAACCTTTGTCCTTCTTCTCCTCCTTCACAATCCATGTAGCAATTGCAGTAAGTAAGGTCTTCTTTTTATCTATGTCATGAGGAGAAATCAGGAAGGGAACCTAAATGACATGTAAGAGTAAACTCAGCAGAGACATAACTGGTCCCCTCTGGGTAGATGACACACAGAACTGAATAAACCCTGAATTAAGTACATTTGCTGTAAGCAAACCTGCCACACTGCCAAACACCCTCACCCATGTTAAACCTGGTAATAACTCTGGGATTGAGATATAATTCAGTATGTAAGGGAGAGAGAGGAGGAGATACAGTATGTCCTCTACAGAAATTCACTTTTCCCTTAAGTGCTTTAAATACATGCCTTCACTTTTTACCCATTTTTATTTAGAAATATTTCATATTGTAAAAAGGTTTTTTTTTCTTATGATGCACATCACTGCCCTGTTGGGGGTTATTACCAATCCGGGCATGGAGAGAGATGAGAGCAGTTCTTCAACAAAAGGATGGATAGGTAGGAGTCTTTCCTGGTGGATGGGGTTCAGTGAGACAGGAGTAACCTTGAACTGGTGGAGCTGGGATCAGTTCAAGTGCTCAGGGCTCTGAGATCCCATTTCTCTGGGACAGTAATAATTATGCAGCAGGATAGGCAGTGCATAGGAGAGTAACGGGAACGGCAACCTTCTCCAGAATGGTGGCCTCCAGAGTGAAGCTTTTTCCATGACAGAGCCCAGATCTTCTTAACTAAAAGGAATGGGAGTAGGTTGCCAGATGAGTTGGTGTTTATGTCTCAGTTGAGAGTTGTGTGCTCTGGTGGAACTGAAGTCCTGTGCAAACAACTGGTATTTGCTTTGGTCAAGGTTCTGGAGGGAGAGGAAAAGGGTGGGCCAATTCCTTCCCATCAACCTAGCTGGGAGAGTCCTGTAGAGACTTGGGGCCTTGGATTTCTAACAATCAGTTATTGGGATATATGGTAGGGTGGACAGAGAACAGATGGTAAGAAACGTGCAATAAATAGATACAGACCTTGTCAGGTCCTGAGATTTACACTTTTAGAATAATTTCAACAGCACCCTTATTTTTAACCATTTGTCTGCTTCTCTCCCAATGGAGAGCGTGCCCTTGCACACTATTGCTCATCAGGTAGCATGTTGCGACTACCTTTGTGCAAAAATGAGAATGAAATTAAGGAATGAAGCCTACCAAAGCAGCCTTGCCTTCCTTCAAAGTGGTTTTCTCATCCTACAAAACTTTCCTTTACAGTTGCTGTCATTGTTCTTCAACCCAACACGGCCGACTAAAACAGAATCTCTGCTGTCTTCATCATAAACACTGTGA